TGCTTCCAACTCTAGAAATAAGTAGAGGGCTGAGGAAGGATTCAGTCCCTTCCTCTCTGTCACACTTGGGCCATTGATAGTTGGCACCTGATGAAGTCGGATTTGCTTCCAGGTACGGCACAGTGACGGGCAGTGCAAGGCTCACTCCGAGCCGCCCGATTCCCAAACGTTCTTTTTGGAGCCCCCTGGTTGCCGGGTAGGCTCCGCCAGGTCTCCCGAAGAGAGAGCTGGTGGCAGGGGGCTCTGTTACGGCCCCTCCCGCATCTGGCAATTGTGGGAGGTGTCCATTTCTGCCCTGAAGTGGAAGCGTTTTTGTGGAGCAGAACATGGATACCACGTTCTGCCTTAGCTGTGACCATCCGCTTTTTAACTATGGATTTAATTTCTACAACAGTAACACAGAGGAACAAGCCTGAAAAACGAACTGTGAGTACATTTATCTTCTAATTCGGAAATAGAGAAGAGTGGAGGCGATATCACCTTTAAGCGATTTGCTCAGAAAGAAGAGGATTAGCGGCCAGAAGAGGATTGGGAGCCATTTGTATGTTTCTGGAGTGCTTGCAACTGGAGAGTTTTTCTTGTTTTTTCTTTTTATGGCAAGAACCTACTATAGACTTGAGTGCATTAAACTAAATTGAGCTGCGTTTTTCCCATTAAAATGGCGCTGGTAACACAAGAGGAGGAGGAGGAGGAACTGGATGAGAATATGCTTGTGGGAGATTTATCTGTGGAACAGTTCCTAAGGGTTTTAAGGGAGCAAATTCAGAAGGGTTTTGAAAAAGCTTGTGTAAATTTATTAAAAACACCACATAACCCACAAGTGGAAACAAAGAAAGAAGATGAAAACAAAGAAAGCTTTGAGTTCCAACTTACGCTAAACAAAGGAGATGTCCATGTTAACTTAATGGAAATGACAGAGAAAGAGGAAAATGTGGGACAGTGTTCACAGAGGGACGTAGAGACTATAGAACGTTATCAAACAGAAGAGCATTTAGAGTTTCAACTTATACCAACCAAAATAAAAAGAAAGAAATCAGCAAGATCTCCCCACTTAAAACCAGAGGCTCCAAAAAAGAAGGTGCATGGATTTTGTTTTACAGGACAAAGGAAACCAGTTGTTGGAACCTCTAGATTATGAAATATATATTTAGAGGAAAGCCAATAATAGGTAATAAGAGTGGAAGTACTAAACAGCTAAGAAGCAAGTAAGAGCTTGAATAGTTAAGAGAAGCTTGCCTTGGGAGAATGAAGTAGTTCCAGGAGCTTTAAAATCTAAAGGGTGATGTATGTTTAACTTTGACATGGTTGATCTATTGAAAAGCTGAAAGTAAACCATTCTTTTTTCTTATCTTCTTGATAGGGTTAGGCGATTTTGTGGAGAATAATACTAATTTTAGAAAGTCTATATGAATAATTTTCCAAAAAAAAAAGCCACGTAATGTGAAACTCATATTGTTAAATCATAAAATTGGTGTTGTTAAATCTTTTAAAAATAGTATTAATAGAAGAGTGTACTCAAAGGTGAAATACTTTAAATACCGTGGTATAGGAGTTAGTAGGTGTAATTGAGTAAGAACTATTTGTTTGTATTTTCTCTTTTTTGGCTCAACTGTGTTACGATACCAAATTTAAATTTAATTTCATGTATGTGTTCTTGGGTATGTCAGTGTTTATATGCATGTCTTATTTTGTTTGAAAATCTAATAAATATATTGTAAAAAAAAGATAGTTGGCACCTGATGATGCTTAAGACCTGAATGACCTATAACCTGTAACCTTTTTCCTGTAACCTTTCCCCATGATTTACCTGCTTCTGCCTGCTTGCAGTTTTTTTATCATTGCCCTCGTCTGCCATTGCATTCCTGGGGGGGGGAGTGTATGCGAGTAGGGAGTAGGGAGGCCACTTAGTAATCTTCCAAGAGGCCCCATAGACATTGTTCTCACAAGAAACGTCCCTGGAGAAGAGTCTGTGTCTGGCTAGATAGTGGTTGTATATCTTTCAGGACCACTGTAGTAATGCTAACGTTGAATGTATGGAATTTGGAATTGTAACTATACCTTGTGTTTCCTGCCTTGCGAATCAGTCCTAACAAAGCATTTGAACCCACAGCATCTCATATCTCCAGGGGTCATTTCGTAGAAAAAGAGCTAGGGGGACTCATTAGCATAACTCATTAGCATATGCCACACCCCCTGACATCACCGGAAGTGTGTCCTCCCCACAGCTGGTGGCGACCTCCAGCGGGCACCAGCAGGGAGCTCCAGGCCCCGCCCTCCCACACCTCACCCGGGGGGATGGCGTCCCCCCGCGTCCCCCCCAAATGACCCCTGCATATCTCTAAATAAAACTTTCACTAAAGAAAGTGTGTGTAGAGAGTGATTTGACTGGGAACCTGACACTCTCCTTCCTGTCGCTTCACAGTAGGAATGATTCAGTACCCTTTACTGCTGCTTCACACACTACATTTTAAAGCATATGCCTTCAAATGTTAAAGGTGAATAGTTAGCTCTTTGCTAAAAGTATACTCAGTGACAAACCCAGGTTTACTGAGTTCTAATGTGTGAAATGGCACTTTTGTGGCTATTTTGAAAAAACATTAATTAAATTTACAGTGGTATCATATGATTGTAGCTTGAATTGTGTAATTGCTGTGACCCACTTGGCTTATAAGCTAGAGCCAAACATGATCATCTGTCAATTGTTGAGTAATGAAAATGTATGAGTCACTCTGGAATGGCAGATGAAGATAAGGAGAAGTTTATACATTCCAAAAACTTAACACCATAGTAGCAGAAAATAATCACATCACAAAGAGAGAGGGTATTACCAGAAAAGGGCAACGGTAGTCTCTTTGGCCAGCCAAGACTCTCACTGTGTAGGTGTTTGTACAAGACACTGCTCCACCACATCACACTGATCAGACTACTGAGGGGCAGCTATGCCACTTCCTGTGACACCAGTGGCTAAATTACAGGAAGTAAACCCCTCTGAGTTTCTGAGCTCTGTCAGGCTTCAGTAGCACCAATTTTCTTGATTGCATTCAGATAGGAAAGTCATACTCTTCATTGTGCATTGGGTAAGATGACATCAGAGAATGTACTACTAAAGCGAGAAGTCAAGAAACTGTGGGCCTGCACTCCAATACACACACACCTGCACACACACACACACAGAGAGCAAGAACACTATAAAAAGCTAGCAGTTTTCAAGAAGGAACTGCAGGTTCTACAATGGATTTTAAATATTTTATATATTATAAAATATGAGAGTTTACTTATTTAAAAAGACACGTGAACAGTATTCCAGTTAACATTGCAGCCTATTTTTTCATCAGAGAAATGTGTGTGAGATCTGTTCTGTACAATAATGTAGTAACCATAAGTATCTTGTCTGTTTCTGATTTTTATTGTAGGCTGTTGCCCAGGACCGTGAAGATATTAAATCCTTTAAAAAAACTTTAGTAGTCAATATATAATAGTTTTCACATATGGGCTTCTGTAAACAGCTGTTTAAATTGTATAGCATGGGTCATAATCAGCACCCAGTGCTTTTACTGCAAATTCCATTGCCTAGTAATAAAGCTGGAGTTTGTACCAGCTCCCTGCTGAATTTACATCAGCAGGCCCAGTGAAGAATAAGATACAAATATCTAGTACCTAGTTATAATACAAGAGTGTGCAACAGACATTAATCCAGTCTAGTTATTTCCCGTTTTCATTCAAAGGTGAGGAATGGGTTTGTGACAACTCAAAACGAATGGATATTAATCTATTTTTCAGCATTTATGAAGAGTCACACTCTAGAGAGAAATCTTGGTAAGCCTTGTCAGGCAGTGCACTTTCATAACAAAATGTACTTTCTGCTTGGACTTCTCTGTAACATACTATCTACTTCAGGCATTTTTATAGTATGGGGGGGGGATAACGTGCACTGTGTACTTTTCACTTCTAGACTAAATGAAAAGAGGGCCAGCTTTACAGTCAATGACATCGTGAGAAACGGAGATACAAATTGACAACAAAGCACCTCTGCAATTAATGTACGATAAATTAGCGAAGGACATTTGAAAACCTGTGTTATTACCTTAGATTTATTCCTCTGTTAACCTATCCCAGCAATTTCAGCTGCATGCTTTTACAACACTTAGCCTTTTTAAATGCTCCATAGAAGTTAACTAATACATGCTTTAACTGACTTCTCATAGTTTCTTCTTTCCCTTTGTTTTGTTATTTACCAACAGTTAATGGGAGATTACAAGTTCAGCTTGTGGATTCTGGAAGCATGCATCATTGTGAGCATTCTATGACAGTGTGTACACAGCTTTTCACACCTGTGTTGTAAAGAAGCCACAAGCCTCTATGGTATAAACTTTTACAGTATTGGTTTGCCACATTCACACTTTCATTCATAGGTATATGCATATTATGTATTGCATATGTGTATAGCTAAAAAATATAGGGTTGGATCCTACAAAGGGGTTAGGAGAACCACTCTCCCTTCTCTCTACAGTCTCCAGCGTCTTTTTCTTGCCAGTAGAGGGCTAGGGAACCTCCAGAACAGAGTGAAGGTCTTGTGCAAATTGCTTCACAAATGGAGCAGGCAGTCATGCAAGGATGAGAGCATATTTCTGTGACTCCCCCTCCTTGCCACAGCAAGCCCCTCCCCACTGCCTCCCTATGTTCTTGAAGGACCCTGACTTTCTGGAGCTACTTGTCAAGGGACTTAGCAGGCTGTGGAAGGAAGAAAGCAAGAGTCCTGTTGTGTTTACTGTTTGTAGAATGCAGCTCACAGGACAGAGGCCATTCAGTTTAGAAAATTTTGTAGAATGCAGCTCACAGGACAGAGGCAGGCTTATTCCGTTCAGTTTAGAAAAGAAGGCTCCATTGCACTGGCTTTTCTCTAAAACAAACATGATTTAACTGTATGGAGATCTGCAAAGAATGGAAAGAACAATGTCTGGATTATCATACTTGACAGATAAAAATGTTTTAATCGCCACAGTATTGGGTAACCTCCTACCACATTAGAAGCATGTGGTTCAGAGTAGGAATCAGTGATGACAATGTAACAATATTTACTATAATGGAAGAGAATATTTTCGTTTCACAACAACTTCCAAGCTCAAAGCACAAGGTAGAACAAAACACATTTTTTAAACATTGTTTTTAAGTATCAGCCACTTGGAGAGAACAGTTTTTAAAAACTACATTATATATATATACACACACACACCACCTAGTGAGACACATAGTAATATCAGAACATCCAAGGCAAAATGGACTGTAGAAACTGAGGACAATATGTTCTACTGACTAATGAAGATAATATTTTTACTTACATAAATTTATTAATTAGCACTTCAGGTGCTGGTTTTAGCTTCCTAACACTGGAATAAATTAAAAATAAAATATATTTCATCCTTGCAGTCTTGCAAACAGATCAAGAGGTCTGTATGTCTTCTGATGCATGCACAGAGCTCCTGTAGACATGTGGGTTTCCACCCATTTCAATATCAGGAGCTGATCTGTGCACTTAACAGAGTGCTTGTGCTGATTAATCTGTTCCATTGACATATGTGGTGAGAACTCTATGTGCCTAGTAGACCCTTTGAATCAGGAGGAGATCCAAGGATTGTCGGGTTAGAGTTTTATCATTTAAAAAAATCCTAAATTAACATACTTGATCCCTTTCTTTAACACACACACACACACATTTGACAGGGTTAAAAAAGACACAGAAAAGTGCTCATCAAGTGCTTATTTTACTAATTATTTCAGTAAGATTAGCTGTTTCTTTGGTGCAACATGGCAAGTAACTGGCAAGAGCTCATCATGGGACTGTTCTTGGAATGGCAAAGGAATTGCCATGTTCCTCTGCTGACAGCAGTACTTGTCTGAGAGCTTGTGCTTTTCAAAAAAACAAACAAAACAGGAGGCCACTCCACTCACCCTTTCAGCTTTCAGCAGACGAGTTCTTTGCTCTACTATGCCAAACATGGCAGCAGAACACGAATATAGCATATAGCTGAATCTTGAGGAATAAATAGTGTTCTGATGGGAATCTGACATCCTAAAAGCAATTTCCTGGGACTGAGTCCCAATGAATTACATGGGAGTTACTTCAGAACAAACCTCTTTAGGATTGATCCCTGAACCACACCTACGTAAGATTACAGCTTCTGGAGTTAGTATGATTCTTTGGAGCGGTGGTATATTGACAGCAAAGAAGATTATATATTTTATAGAGCGTTGCTCTTTAGACATTAGCAACTATCTTTTCCAGTTAAAGACCTTCTTACATTCGGCAGCCATCATCCAAAATGCCCTCCATTCCTCAAAGCCTGCTTTGGTATTTCATTAATAAAAAACCAGGAATCATTAGAACAAAGTGAGAGTTGTCCTGGCATAACTGAAGCACATAGCGTGAGCTGTTTGCTGCTATTTCAGTTCAAGCATGCCATCCCTGGACTGGCTTGGCTGGCACCATCTCAGGAATGTCCAGAAGGGTTTTTTGTTAATTATTATTGTAAATTGATATGGCCTGTTATTCAATATAGAAAGACCAAGAGCCCAATCCATTCTGCATTGTTTTGTTGTCTAATTTTCTATGAAAAATAAATCCTGGTAGCAATCACACCTTACAAATTAGAAGAATTACCTAACTACCACTGCAATTCTAACAATGTATACTCTGAAGTAAATCTCACTAAGCATATTTAGCATTGCAGCCTCAATCCAGCCCTTTTGATTGCTACGCGTTTGGATATGAAATGTGTTCAGTTTTTAAACCATTTGCCCAAATGTCAGTGTTCCTAAACTCCCAACAGTAAAATGCATGCTGCAGACCTCTGTGGTATTTGCGAGTGCCAGTGCATGAAAAGTCATGTATGTATGAAATAACAGGGAAAGACATGTTTTTGCTTGCTTGCTGTTGCATAAATGAGAGCTGCTCCCAAGTGGTGGAGAAGCAGACCCTGTTTGGAAAACCCAAGTCAAAAGCCATCTTTACACTGATACTGTTAACTACTCCAGACAGCTGTGTGCCTGCAGGCCTGTCTAGACCACACATTTTACTTCGCATCCCAGCAGTCCTATAAAAAAAGCAATGGCCTTTTCTAATAAAGAGCAGCTCCGTTGTGTCTGCAGCATCATTTCATACTGTGCCAAGACTATGGCTGGGATCCAAAGAACCCAGGGAATCAACATACTCAAGGGGAGGAGACTGCTAATTCTCTCTTTTGGCTGTATTCCCATGTATCTCCAGTTCTTACTGGAGGATCACCTAGGTTTCAAGAATGGCTTTTCAGAAAGTGCAAGAAAGGGGCGGAGGGAGACTGTTAACTATGGCCTTGTCCATTATCCTGTATTTTTGTTGTTGTCTAACTTTTATCTAAAATATAACAAAGCTGGAGATGATGCTTTACAGAATGCAAAAAGAAGTACCTATGGATACTAGGAGCATAAAATGGCTTGCATTTCTTTAAAAAATGGCATTTATGGAGTCATTGCATGTTCTGGAAAGAATGGATGGACCATATATTCCAGAAGAACATTTGTGTTAGGAAACAGATTTCTGTTAGAAACATAGGCAGGTGCTTTGTTATACTGTGTTCCAATTTCATGGCTACTTCACACAAAGGCTCAGTTTTGGTATATATTATAAAAACACAAACACACACAAAAAGAGCAAATCAAACCCACTATGGTTAGTGTGACCATCTGAATCAGGCCAATCTGCTAAATATGGTTAGCTGAATGCATGAACATGAAGCTGCCTTGTACTGAATTTGACCATTGGTTCATCAAGGTCAGTACTGTCTACACTGACTGCCAGCAACACAGTCTCAGGTTGAGCTCTTCCACATCACCTACTAATTGATCCTTTAAATCCTCCAGCTGGGGATTGAACCTGGGACTTTAGGGTTGCCATTCCCCAATGCGGGTGGGGGTATATCCACTTTTGGGGGCCCCGATCTGCCACCCCTGAGCCCACCGACAGGCAGAACCCTGCCCCCAAAGAGCCTCATCTGTGCCGGAGGTGACATCATCACGCAGAGCATGTTAGGGGGATACTTTATGGTTTGAGGAAAAATGACTGAGCATTCCCCCAAATGACTGAGCATTCCCTACAGTGTGCCCTGTATGATGATGTCACTTCCAGTGGACATCATTGCGGCATGCATGCTTTGCAGCATGCCAAAAACTCCAGGAACCTAAGAGGGAGCCCTCCGCCAGCGGCCTGGCAACCATATGGGACCTGGACCTTGCACTATTAAGCCATGGCTCCACCCCATCATAGTTCATGGTCCATCATATCAGGATGCCAAACCCTGACATTGGTTTATTAATCATAGTTAGTCTAAACTATGGATTTGTGTAATGTATAGACACATGGATATCCTGGCTTAATCTTGGCTGGTTTCCTAGTGCTGCCCTCATATACCACCCACCTACAGATATGACCAACCAGAGCAAAGGTGATGAAACCATCATTTGTTGAGGCAAAATAGAACTGAAATGATTGTCTGCAAGATGATTCTTGGTTCCACAAACTGTCCATTCTTAACAACATAAAACCATTGTTTTCTGTTCTGTCTGAACTGAGCTGAAATGTCAAGTTGGAAAACCATACACACATCAATAACTTGAGACAATTGTATACATCTTTTTTGCTCTATATAGGTGTTTGGGAGATCGTTGCTGTTTGCAGCTTCTCAGCACCCAGCAAAAGTGCCTCGAGTATTTGCCATACATAATGGATATTTAATTTATTCCTGTTACGTTGGTGATATTCATATGAGAAATCATCTTCTAGGAAGCAGCACTTGGAGGGTATTATGACAAGATTTCTGTTTTGCTGTAAGATTGCGAGTCAGAAAATTCAAATGTGCACGAACCAACATCACTGTAACCTTTAGTATGTTCATGATGTTGTTATGGGGGAATGACTTGCAGATCTACAGATTTCAGAAGGGTTCTTCCTTCTTTTCCAGAAGCTATTATTGACTCCCAGATTCAGGTTGCATTTCAGTCAAACATGGTGTTGTTGGGTTGCAGGACACAGTTACACTGCTGAGGAAGAATGGCCAAAATGGTTGCTACAAATCCACGTTCTGATTAGTTCAAAGAACACTTCAGTTCTAAGAAAAGAGAGAAAAAAAGAATTATTAAAGCATCTTGCAGCACTTTATACTGCCAGTAATGAATATATTTTGTTCAACTTGATAGTGGGCACGAGAAGTATTTTTTAGAGGTCACCAAAGTCGCTAGATTTCAATGACATTTTAGCTTTAGACCAGACCCGGTGTCAAACTGAAGCTTCACGGTTTGCACCAGAGGACCTTTCATTATGAACATTTGCTTTATACTGCATACCTTACACAACATCGGCCCATTCTGCATGTAGCATTTGCTCCGCTGTTTTACCAAACCCACGTGGGAACAGAAATTCCCCTCTACATCACATTCCACTTTCACTTTGACTGATTGTCAGATTTAATTGAAGCCTCCACACTGCAGGGTGGTTTCACTTCCTTTGATCTCTCGGTTTTCTGGTACTGTCTGCATAGATTTATGGTTGGCACCTCACCTGGGGGGATGGCGTCCCCCCGCGTCCCCCCCCAAATGACCCCTGGTTTTATGGCCGCAGTACGGCATTGGCCCGGGATAGTTGAATGTGGTTTTGAGCTGCATCTTTTCCTGTTCCAGTGTGGGTTTTGTAAAACAACGGAGCAAATGCTAGATGCAGATTGAGCCATCATCATCACGTTTTTACCCCACTGTCCTCAAAGGAATTCGGGCTGGCAGGCATAGTTCCACCCTCCTCCATTTTATCATCACAAGAACTCTATGAGGTGGGTTAACCTGAGAAAAGGTGACCTATGCAAGTGAGCTTCATGATAGGGTGAGAACCTGAACCCAGTTCTCCATGGTTCTTAGTCTGACAGTGTCATCAGTATACCACAGTGGCTCTCAAAAACACAACTGTTTGCTGCAAGAAACTTAAACGGATGAAAGAGAGGAAAGGGAACATCTCTTAACATGAAGTAGACATGTACCAGGGAACTATCAGGATTCTTGTTGGGTAGATAAGAGTATGGGGGTACACCTTCCCTAATATGTTTTGTATAGTTACCTCAGCAAAAACTTTGCCTCTGTCCTAAACCAATCCTCCACCACTTTGCTTTTCAATGTGAAACATCAGGTAATATATACGGCCAAAATATAGCCACGTATTTGGAATCCATTTATATCTTTTGCCAGCCAACACTCAACCACTCTTAATCCTCCACTTAATGCTAGGAATTTATGGAAAGATCGGCTTAATAAATCATGCAGTTATTAGCAATAAAGCTGCAAAAACATCTAGTTAAAACTGTGAAAAAATATAAAACAATAATTTTATTTTATTTTAGATTTTATTTTAGTTTTTCTTCTTAATTTTTTTGGTTTGTATATGCTTCCCCCCTTGCGTGTTATGTTAGTTAATGTATGGTCACGTCAATAAACAGCCATGCAAAGTCTTATATTAATATCACCTGTGAGAGGAATCTATTAGTGTTTTATTATAGAAATAACAGAGGTACAACTGTCATGGAGTGTCTATGGTAGTTGCTTTTGAGGGTTTGCCTCTGTATTAGGTCACACCCAATCTCTATTGTCCCCTGCCTGTCTTCAGCCTCCATTCATATGTGCTACAAAACAGCAGAATCAGAAGGGCAAAAATAATATTTGTACATGCTTTCCCGACATCATATTGTATTCTGAGAGCCAGTTTGGTGTAGTGGTTAAGTGTGCGGTCTCTAATCTGGGAGAACCGGGTTTGATTCCCCATTCCTCCACTTACACCTGGCTGAATGACCTTGGGCAAGCCATAACTCTGGCACAGCTGTTCTTGAAAAAGAGCAGTTTCTGTCAAGAGTTCTCTCAGCCCCACCTACCTCACAGGGTGTCTGTTGTGGGGAGGGGAAGGGAAAGGAGTTTGTAAGCCACTCTGAGACACTTTTGGGTAGTGAAGGGTGGGGTATAAATCTAATCTCTCCTCTCATCTCCTGAACAGAACAGCCACGGGAAGCCAGAATCTGCCTTCTGTGTTATGAAAGATCCCCAATATGGTTGTGTTTTCATGTGACTATAAGACCCATCCTCATGGGATCTCCATGTTTGCACGCTGCTAATGTTGGAAATAGGGCTACAAGTAAAGCTCTTGGCCATGTTGTACCAAGGACTATGCATTCAACACTGTTAGAGCTTAAATTGTCCTTTCAAAAGTTTTCTTAATTATCCTCATCTTGAACTAAACAGGTTTCCAGTGTTGTCAGTATCCATTTTATTAATTCATGCACTGTTTTACCCATCATAATAGAAGCCCATGAAAAATTGAACTGGGAATATAAAAGATTCATGGCTCAGCTTATGACCCATTAAAAGCACAGAGCTTTGTAAAAAAACAAAACCCTGTTCTCTCAGGAAGTGCACACCCACCCACACATACTTGCTCATCACTTTTATTTTCAAGTGAGGCACAAGAAAATATGCCTGGCATGGTGGTCACTCTGCCCAAAGTCCCATCAAGCAGCCAGCAAAGGAAGAACCAGGAAGCACATTTTTTTACCCTCAACTCCTCACCCATTGAGGGTCAACAAATCCACAGCCTACAAACATGTACTCAAAAGGCAAAGAGAACCAAAGTGTCACCTGTTGATCGGCATTAGCCCTGCATTTTCTTTTTTTGCCCTTAGCCAATGTTTAAACAACAAACAGGACAACCTGAACCACAACCAGGTTAAGGACAGTGCTGAAAAACAGCATGAAGCCAGGCTGACGCCAAAAACAAAGCTGACAACCTCAGGGTAGTTCCTGGTGATAACTTCTGTAAAGGAGAAATGAGGGCATAAGGGTTGCTGGGAGGAAAGCTCCTCTAACTGCTAGTCATGAGTACTCTTGCAAATTGAGGCATAGCATCTGTGTGGGTGGAATGGGGCTGGATTTTCAGCAGTTAGGGACTGCATTCCACATGAACACAACATAAAACTACCTTATACTGAATCAGACCCTCGGTTCATCAAAGTCAGTATTATCTACTCAGACTGGCAGTGGCTCTCCAAGGTCTCAGGCAGAGGTCTTTCACATCATCTACCGCCAGATCTTTTAACTGGAGATACCAGGGATTGAACCTGGAACCTTCTGCATGCCAAACAGATGCTTTACCACTGAACCACAGCTCCACCAGGTGCAGCCAGGGAACCCACTAGGCTTACCAAGTGGCAGCGGGGGATCCGCATGTCTTCACAGGATCCCTGCCACGGGGACGGCGACACGCGTTGCACCTGCCGTCGCCAGGATGTGACGCTACGCGTCGCTCTGGCAGCGGGACTCCAAACAGCCCCGTTGCCAGAGCAACGCGTTGCGTCACATCCTGGCAATGGCGGTGCAACACGTATCGCCGTCCCCGCAGCAGGGATCCTGTGAAGACATGCGGATCCCCCGCCGCCACTTGGTAAGCCTAGAACCCACCTGGGGTCAAAATCATCAGGGAGACACTTGAACCAGCTGAAAGGAGGACTGTTTCTAATTAAGTTTTGCGAAGATTGTGCTTTTGGTGCTGGTCACTGGCTTGGACTTAGAATGGTGCCTGTGGAGAAACCCCTTTCCCCACTCTGAGTTTTTAATGTGTTCCTGGTTTTTTCCTTTTCTCTCTGGAAGGGCAGGAAGCTAGGTCAATTGCCAGCCATGGTTATACAAATGGATTTACTTGCAAAGGAACTGAGGGATTTGGTATTAGGAATCTTCAGGTAACTCCTGGAGATTTCCCAGAATGCCTTCAAGGAGGGCTCCCAGGATGTACCTATGTGACCTGAGTGGACCATGTCAAAGGGGGTGGAAAGTGTGATGTGGAATAGGTGGGGTTGGAGGCTTAATAGAAGTGCTTGCTCCCAGGAGGGAGGGTCTCTTGGTGCTGATCTTTGGAAGAGAACAAACTGCTGAGCTCTGTTCA